TCACTGTTACCCGAGAATTTCATAGATTTCTTTGTGATGCTCGTGGATTCTTTTATTAAGGCTCATGCTAGGGCTAGAAAGGTGCAGACCCGAAAGGCCGACATATTCAGAATTGCTGAAGGAGAATCCGAGTTGCTGCGAGAGTTCGTTACTCGATTCCAAAAGTGGAGGATGTTGCTCCCGGCTGTTCCGGACGAATTGGTGGCTGAAGCATTCACCAAGGGACTGAATCCGAGAAGCTCAGACACTTCCCGGAAACATAAGGAAAGTTTGGTTGAGTTCGAAGCAACGACTTAGGCGGATGTACACAACCGATACGAGTCAAAGATAAGGATCAAAGATGATCATGTTGGTTTCTCATCGTCGGCAAAGGGACGGGAGAAGAATAAAGAAAAATCAAAAGATGACTTCGACACGGACAGACGGTTTTCGAGGAGGGCTGGTTTTTTCCCTACGAATGGAACGAAGGTCGCGGCAGAGGTTTCCGGTCAGCAGACAGGTTTCCTACCGACAGAAGGATTGATCACTGTCGGAACAATAGGTAATTGCAGGACAAAGAAGTGTTAGGTACGCGGGATCCTTCTTACCCCAGGCTATCAGAATAAAATTTCAACGTCAGTGTTGTAGAGTTGGTATCAGCTATGAGGAACATCAAAGAAGCACGATTCCTGAAGCCAATGAGGTCCGATCCCAGCCGTAGGGACCTTAACTTATGGTGTGAATACCATGGGACAAATGGCCACCGAACTAGGGACTGCCGACATCTTCAGGAAGAAGTGGCGACACTATTGAAGAATGGTCATCTCAGAGAATTCTTAAGTGACCGGGCCAAGAGCAACTATGGTCACAACCGGGATAACGCGGAACCCTCGAAAGTAGGGGAAGATCCCTCACACCAGAAAATCAACATGATATTCGGGGGGAACGAGATCACCAGGGTCACCTTCTCTGCAGCAAAAAAGACGAAAGTATCAATAACCTACAGAAGAGGACGCAGATAGATTAATGCTACCGTACAACGACGCACTAGTAATTTCTTTAAATGTGCTATACTTTAAAATCAAACGCGTTCTAGTGGATCCAGGGAGTTCCGCCAATATCATACAATGGAGAGTATGAGAGCAAGCTAAACTCACCGGAAGCATCATTCCGGCCACAAAACTCCTCGCCGGATTCAACCTCGCGAGCGTGACAACCCGAAGAGAGATTTTGTTGCCCACGAACACCGAAGTAGTGAGGAAAACGACTCTTTTTGAAGTGGTAGATGGTGATATGGGTTATGATATTATTCTGGGAAGAGCATGGTTGCACGAGATGAGAGTTGTACCATCAACATATAATCAGTTGCTAAAATTTCCAATGCCCGAAGGAATTAAATAGATAAGGGGAGACCAACCGGCGGCAAGGAGATGAATGCGATTTCGGTCTCCAGTAGCAAAGGGAAGGAGCACGCTGCATAGAAACTACAGGAACCGACGCCCACTCCCGGATCGAATGAAGTTAGACCGGGGGTAAAATTTTTGGAATCTTATCAATGCCAAGGTATTTCTAGGTACCAGAAGAGACGGATGCAACAAAATCCACGACGGAAGAGCTCGAGCAAGTTGCATTGTTCGAAGAGTTCATGGAAAAGAAATTCCACTTCGGGACTAGACTTCACCCCGAGATCAAGTCTGGCTTTATTAAATTTCTTGAATATAATTCCGATTGTTTTGCGTGGTTGCATGCATACATGACAGGTATCGCAACGGGGTGGTCGAACATAAGCTAAGTTTAGATCCCAACATACCTCCGGTAAGACAAAAGAAATGCCCAATTGCAGAGGCCAGGAATAAATTCGTCAAAGAAAAGGTAACCCGCTTACTTGACACGGTTCGATCCGAGAGATAAAGTATCCAGACTAACTAGCTAATGTAGTAGTACTTCCTAAGAAGAACAATAAATTTGGCATGTACGTAGATTATAAGGACTTGAATAAGGCATGCCCGAAAGACTCGTTCCCACTACCAAACATCGATCAAAAGATCGATGCGACGGCCGGGCACGAGTTAATAAGTTTCCTCGATGCTTATTCTGGGTACAACCAAATTAAGATGAACCCGGAGGATCGGGTAAAGACTTCGTTCGTAACGAATTTTGGCACATATTGCTATAATGTGATGCCTTTCGAGTTGAAGAATGCCGGAGCCACTTATCAGCGGTCGTAAGCAAGATGTTAGAAAAACAAATAGGGAAAACTATTGAAGTTTATATACATGATATGCTCGTTAAGTCTTTGAATGCAGGTGTTCACCTTAAGCTTAAGCAAGAAGCCTTTGACATCCTAAGGAAGCATAACATGAAGGTTAACCCCGAGAAATACGCGTTCGGGGCCAGCTTTGGCAAGTTCCTAGGATTTCTTGTTTCACAAAGGGGGATTGAGGTAAACCCCAATAAGATCAAGGTCATCGAAGACATCTTGGACCAGCTGTCAAGCGTGAAGGAAGTTCAAAGGTTCATGGGAAGATTGGCCGCTTTGAGCAGGTTTATTTCCCGATCGTCAGAGAGCCACCATTTCTTCGAACTGCTCAAAAAGAAAAACAACTTCGAAAGGACCCCAGAGTGCCAGCAGGCTTTGAGAGATTTGAAAAGATACTTGTCAAGCCCTCTGTTACTTCGAAACCAAAGGAAGGTGAAACACTGTTGGTCTACCTCGCAGCCTCGGAAGTAGCGGTAAGTGCAATTTTAGTCCGTGAGGATGAAGGTACGCAATCTCCCATTTATTACGTTAGTAAAATTTTAATGGGAGTAGAAACTCGCTACCCGCATTTGGAGAAGTTGGCCTTAGCTCTCGTAGCCGTCGCTCGAAAGCTGAGGCCCTACTTCCAATGTCACCCGATAGTCGTGGTGAACATATTTCCTCTGTGGAACATCCTTCACAAACCCGAACTCTCGGGTAGGTTGGCCAAGTGGGCCATCGAAATGAGTGAATTTGACATAATATAAACCAAGGACTACGATTAAGTCACAAGTCTTGGCTGACTTTGTGATTGACTTCAGTCCAGGATTGCTGCCTCTAGCAATCAAAGAGGCAGTAATGGTGTTAGAATCGACATCGGGAGTTTGGACCTTATTTACGGACAGAGCCTCCAACGTAAAAGGGTCCGGGCTTGGCATAATCTTAATCACGCCTTCGGGAGAAACCCTAAGGCAAACTATCAATGGTCCCTTTAAGTAACAATGAAGTAGAGTATGAGGCTTCGATTGGAGGACTCGAACTGGCCCGGGGACTAGATTCCAAGGTCATAGAATTCAAGTTCGACTCACAGCTGGTGCTAAATTAGGTCTACGGGATCTTCGAAACCAAAGAGGAGCGCATGCAACAATACGTGGTAAAGGTCCAGGCTCTGCTGGCTCGATTTCGGGAGTGGTCGATTACTCAAATCCCAAGTGAAGAAACTGCAGAAGCAAATGCACTGGCTAACCTGAGTTCATCAACGGAAATGAAGGGATAAGAGTTCTGGACGGTAGTACAACTGATGCACTCGGTCCTGGATGCAGATAGCTACTATGAGCTAAATACGACTAATTTGGTCTGGGATTGTAGGAATGAGATCATCGATTATCTCGAGCACGGGAAGTTTCCCAAAGACTCCAAGGCGTCCCTGGCGCTGCGCGCCAAAGCAGCACGATATAGCTTCAAAGGAGGCCAACTGTACAGACAATCTTTCTAAGGCCCGTTGGCCTGATGCTTGGGGGCATCTGAAGCAAATTATGTTACGCAAGAAGTCCACGAAGGGATTTGCGGCAACCATTCAAGCACAGATTCCTTAGTGCTAAAACTGGTAAGGCCGGGATATTATTGGCCCCGAATGGAACAAGATGCCAAAACTTTCGTTCAAAAATGAGATAAGTTCCAAAACGCTACGCACCGCTGGTACATCAACCGGTAGAACCACTACACTCGATTCTATCTCCGTCGCCATTCATTAAATGGGGTATGGACATCGTCAGACCACTGCCGCCAGCTCCCGGCAAGGTAAAATTTCTTTTGATTTTAACTGACTATTTTTCTAAGTAGGTGGAAGCAGGTTCTTATCAGAAGATTGGCGAGTGCGAAGTGGTAGATTTCTTGTGGGGCAAAATAATCTGCAAGTTCGGAATATCAAAAGAGATTGCATGCGATAATGGGCCGCAATTTATTGGAGCAAAGATCACAAAGTTCCTTGAAGATTTGAAATTAAAGAGGATCACATCTTCATCCTACCATCCGATAAGCAAAATTTGAATACGTACGATTTTTTAGCATTTAAAGGCTGAATAAAGTGCAAATATATAATACCATATCTTTCATCAGAAATTTTTTGATAGTGTAGTATACTAGTCATGGTTAAGGCTGTTGCAACTACAAATCTTATTCTTTTGAAGACCATCTTTTTGGTGTGCTTCATTATAATAGTGACACAAGGTAATTTTATTCCGGCCCCCTCTCTTTCATTTGTTGATATATATTTGATCTCACAAGTATATCAAAGCGATGCCTATAATCCACCTTTTCAAGTATAATAGTGAATAACTTTTTTTTTCTTCCTATTCTTGTTGTACTTAGCAGCAGGTATTGGAAGAAGAGAAATGGAATCAAAACAAGCTTATGCAAGTCCAGCGAAGGTTTATGAGATGGAAAAAGAAACAGAAATTCAAGCTGATTCGATAGTGATTGACTATACACCAGCTCATACATCGCCAGCGACTCCCCATCCTCCTCTTTAATAATAAGGGTCTTTAATTTGCTATTTCATTGTGTAATAGAGTATGTTGTGAACGAACTCTAAAGCAATACAACCATTTTTACTTCTTATTAATTGCATGCATGCTTTTTAAGGTAAGATTTTAACTCCTACTATTGATTTTGAGGTAAGGTGATTGCTTAGTTGGAATGACCGAACGGTGGAAAGAAATAAAAGTGATACCTAATCTTCTCAGCCTTGACCAGCTGATCTACCCTAAGGCAAACTATCAAAATGGTCCCTTTAAGTAACAATGAAGTAGAGTATGAGGCTTCGATTGGAGGACTCGAACTGGCCCGGGGACTAGATTCCAAGGTCATAGAATTCAAGTTCGACTCACAGCTGGTGCTAAATTAGGTCTACGGGATCTTCGAAACCAAAGAGGAGCGCATGCAACAATACGTGGTAAAGGTCCAGGCTCTGCTGGCTCGATTTCGGGAGTGGTCGATTACTCAAATCCCAAGTGAAGAAATTGCAGAAGCAAATATACTGGCTAACCTCAGTTCATCAACGGAAATGAAGGGATAAGAGTTCAGGACGGTAGTATAACTGATGCACTCGGTCCTGGATGCAGATAGCTACTATGAGCTAAATACGACTAATTTGGTCTGGGATTGTAGGAATGAGATCATCGATTATCTCGACACGGGAAGTTTCCCAAAGACTCCAAGGCGTCCCTAGTGCTGCGCGCCAAAGCAGCACGATATAGCTTCAAAGGAGGCCAACTGTACAGAAAATCTTTCTAAGGCCCGTTGGCCTGATGCTTGGGGGCATCTGAAGCAAATTATGTTACGCAAGAAGTCCACGAAGGGATATGCGGCAACCATTCAAGCACAGATTCCTTAGTGCTAAAACTGGTAAGGCCGGGATATTATTGGCCCCGAATGGAACAAGATGCCAAAACTTTCGTTCAAAAATGAGATAAGTTCCAAAACGCTACGCACCGCTGGTACATCAACCGGTAGAACCACTACACTCGATTCTATCTCCGTCGCCATTCATTAAATGGGGTATGCACATTGTCAGACCACTGCCGCCAGCTCCCGGCAAGGTAAAATTTCTTTTGATTTTAACTGACTATTTTTCTAAGTAGGTGGAAGCAGGTTCTTATCAGAAGATTGGCGAGCGCGAAGTGGTAGATTTCTTGTGGGGAAAAATAATCTGCAAGTTCGGAATATCAAAAGAGATAGCATGCGATAATGGGCCGCAATTTATTGGAGCAAAGATCACAAAGTTCCTTGAAGATTTGAAATTAAAGAGGATCACATCTTCATCCTACCATCCGAGCACAAATGGTCAAGCAAAGTCAACGAACAAAGTGATTATACAAAACCTAAAGAAAATATTGGAAGTGGCTAAAGGTAAATGGCCTGAGGAACTACCCGGAGTTTTATGGGCATACCGAACAACGGCCAAATCAAGCACAGCAGAAACTCCTTTTTCCCTTGTGTACGGAGCAGAAGCCTTAATCCCGATAGAAGTAGGGGTGCCCACCTTGAGATATTACCAAGCCAATGAAGAATTAAACAACTAAGCGATATTAATCAACTTGGAGCTACTCGATGAGCGCAGGGACTTGGCATCCCAAAAGCAGAGAATGGACCCAAAAGCAGAGAATGGAACGATATTATAATGCAAGAGCCAAACTTTGTTTTTTCAAAGTAGGAGACTTGGTCCTAAGGAAAGTAGCTCAAAACACCCGGGAGCTCAATGCGAGGAAGCTAGGTCCAATATAGGAAGGCCCCTACCGGGTTTCAGCTGTCACAGTGAAAGGTTCGTACGAATTGGAGAATTAAGTAGGAGAAAATTTCCCAACAACTGGAACGTGGCACACCTCAAATGATATTATTGCTGATGAACATGACCTGTACTGAAAGTATGTGCTGCACTCTTTTTCCCTTCGTCCAATTTTTTCCCCAATTGGATTTTTTGGCAAGGTTTTTAATGAGGCAGTAACGGAAAGCATACTACGAAGAAAGCTTCAACAACAGCTTTAAGACCTTCTAATAACAAGGCACGCAAGCGAAGAACCACACGAGCGGTTAGTTAATCTTTTGCTAGATAGCAAAATTCCTACTTGGAAGTTAAGTTTTCTATCGAACAAAGGTTACCCGATTGTTCGCAAGTGCAAACCACTAAAGGAATGTTATATAGTATTTTGCTCGATAACATAAATTCCTAAGGGGAAGCGAAGTTTGTTACCGAGTTGAAGATTGTCTTGCAATTCATTAGTGGGGTCCTCGAAGGTGCAAAACTTCCATTGTTCCAATTCGCATTCTTCGGATTCGAATACTAGGGGGAATGATATGAGGATACGGCAACAATGACTGCCACATCGACCAGGAAACAAAAACCGTAAGCATAATTGTATCATCAGGACCAGGGACTGTGCGGCCAGCCCCGTAGAGACAATTTGTACAAGTTAGCCACAAGTAATGGCAATTTCTTTTTAGCATAACAAATCCTTATTTACTATTTGAAAAAGAAAGGAATAAAGTGAAGTCCTTTTATTTCTATCTTGTTTCTTGTCTGAACGATGAACTGATTTTGTCATTTGAAAGTTAAACAAGTACATCAAATGCTAGTGCCGTAATAAACAGGAGATGTCCTCTTCAAGAGCACCGTAAACATAAGAGGGCCCTCTCTTATGGAAACCCTCACATTAAAGGGTTGATTTCGGAATAACTTATGCCCGGAATCAAAATGCCCTCGGGGAAAAATACACCCGAAGCCTTGCACAAAAAGACACAAAAAGCAAACCTGCACAAATACTTATTAAAACGCTCACGTTATAGGGTTGATTTCGGAAGAACTTATGCCCGAAATCAAAATGTCTTCGGGGAAAAATACACCTGAAGCCTTGCAAAAAAAGACGCAAAAAGCAAACTTGCTCAAATACTTACGAAAACCCTCACGTCAAAGGGTTGATTTCGGACCAGTTTGTGCCCGAAATATAGATGGTTTTGGGGAAAAAATACACCCAAGGCCTTACATAATCAGACGCAAATAGTAAAACTTGTGCAAAACACTTAGGCAAAAGAAAAAAGGGAGCGCAAAACATGCATAGAGGTTCAACTGAAAGAAAGACGCAAACAATACTTGAGCAAAAAGATGTCTTTATTTACAATAACATGTCAAAGTGGCACGGCTACAAAAGTTGAAGAAGAAGAAAAGCTAAACCACTGCATCTCTGGAACCCAGAGAAAGAGAAGAGTCAGCGCCCCTAAGGGAAGCGGGTAAATCCGCTGATGGCTCAACATTTTGGCCTTCATCAGTAGGGCCTTCAACATCTTTGCCTTCTGTTTCCTCGTCAGTTACCGGAGTCTCAGAACCAGAACTAGAAGAACCGGAGGCATCAGGCTCTGTCGGGAGACCACTTTTAGCAGCTAACTCAAACTCACAGGCCTTGGCAATTTCAGCATCAAAGTCAATGATACCATCTTTGGCCTCTTCCAAGGTTTTTCTCCCATGTTGTACATAACGTAAGTTTTCTCAAAACCGAGGAAGCCGATCAGCTCTTAAGTTCTTCTTTGAGTTGGGTTACCTCGGTAGAAAGGTTTTCCCAGGCGAATCTAACAGACCGGAGGCTAACATCAAGCTCACGGATAGTTGAGCTAAAGAGCCTATTATGCTCGATAGTTTTCTTATACTTCTCCTCCAAATGGGCATGTTTCACCCCCACAGCAGTAAGCTCTTTAACTTTGGAGTTCAAGTTTGCCTCTATGTTGGTCAATCTCTCGGTGAAGGCAGCCTCACGATCGCATGTAGCAAGAAGGCATTATGCACTTCAACCTATTTGGTCCTGGCTTCGTCAAATGTAACCTCTCAACGGGCCAATATCTTGGCTAAGGGTTAGCACTTCTTGCTCACTTTGCTACAAACGAGCCTGCAATACAATGGCCTCAGCAGTTTTGGCTTCTAGTTCCGAGAAGCAAGTGGTAGTTTGCTCCCCCTCGGCCAAAAGTTGATCCTGTGCGGATGTAAGATCTTCCTTTTCCCGGATCAACCATAGGAGGCCCTCGAAAGCAAGAAAGTTGGCCTACAAAGCAAGAAAGGCAAACTCGGGATATTTTTAAGCAAAAATAGAAGAACTAACAAAGGAAGTAAAGAATGTACCGTTGTGGCGTTGTGCATGGCATTGTTCAACAAGCACTCTCCCGAGAGAGCCCGTATCTTTTCCCAATCTTTCTATGAAGCCAAAGGTTTCAGATAATTAGCAAGTTCTACTGGCCGAGATAGCAAGTTGCATCCAGTGGAGACTGAGAGAGTAACATTCCTCCTCCTTTGCGGATCTTCAGAGGGGGCAGCATAAATTTTCCCCAAATTCCCATGAACTGGGGACTAGGGAAGAGGAACACCTTCTTCTCGGCCAGATGCAGTTGGTGGAGATGATGTAGCAGTTGCTGATGGAAGAGTTGGTGAAGAAGGAGATGAAGCTGATGGCAATGAAGGATGAGAAGCAGCCGCAACAAACGCAGTAGTAGTTGTTGGTTGCTCGCCAACCGAAGACGGCAGGGACCCGGTACTCATCCCCGCAATATAGGGTACAGAATGGGAGTTGGCATTTTCTACCATCTCAATCTCCCCCCCAAAGTGCCATGACATCATCCTCGGTTGGTGTAACTAACTCAGCAGATTGAGAATTCTGTTGAGTTGATGAGGATCGTCGCCTTCTATGTAGATAAGCTTCCCTATCAGTAGCTTCTCCAACATCGTCGATCATCACGGTGTCTATGATCGGCCTGGGAAGAGGGCTAGTCACCACAATTTTCGGAGATGACTTGGGGGAAGCAGTCTTCGCCCTCTTATTCTTTTCTCCGGTCGTGGAGGAACGCCTTTTTTTTGCTTGTTCTCCGGGCGGGGACTCCGTGAAGGAAAACTTGTACCCGAAGCAGTTCCGGAGACACTTGTTCGAGTAAGCGCCTCCTGAAGCAGCCTCACCGCATCAGCAAGATCAGCCAAAACGTCCTCCTTGGGGACGACAGCCGAGCCTGCAGGTAGACCTAATTTCAACAAAAAAAAGGAAAAGGATCAATCAATATCCTCACGTAAAAAGCAGAAAAGAGACGAGTCTAAGTTACCAAGATTTTTGGCCTTCCACTCGTATTTGAGGGCCAGTTCTTTCCACGTACGGGTTTCGGGTGTAGTGACATCCAAGATTTTCTGGACCCACTGGTCCAGGCCTTCAACCCTAGGTGGAACACGTTGAGTTACTGAAATAGGCGAAAAAAGGAGGATTAATACGGATATGAAAAAATCCCTAATTAAAGAAATATTAAACAAGGAGCTTTCGATGATTTCACGATTATGGAAAGGATGAAGTCGTTGTCGGAATGATGTCATTGGTGGCAACCAATGAACTATTCCATATACCCACAGTCGTTATCATCATCCATGCTAGATAATAGAGCATGGTGGCCACGTTTGCTGAAATTTATCATTCCCCCGCGGATGATTTTGGGGGAATAGTGATTCATCACATGAGCTAAGGATAGCTCCTCTCCCGTCTCTTGACACAAACGCTGAAGACAAGCGATCGTCCTCCACATAGAAGGACTTACTTGTGCCAAACACACCTGGTAGCGCAGGCACAACTCCACAATAACGTAGTCAAGCTCTCCACTCAAAGAAAACGCACCCATAGTAAAGGGATATGTATAAAAATACGTAAAACCCTCTCTGGGTTGGGTTACTCACTCTGTTAGATCAGGAGAAACAATGTCCAAATCTTGGTGGTGGCAATCTTCCTTCACAACAGAAATACTGGAAGGACGAATGGAAAAAAGATATCTGCCAACGACCCACGTGCGAGGATTAGCCGAAGGGAATTTCTCTCGAAGTCATTTGTTATAACAAGACTTCCTGGGATGATGGAGTGTAACGACCTGGCCGGTCGTTTTGAGAGTATGAGCTCCGATCCCCTATTTATTGCTCCCTCTATTTCATTTTGTGGTTACGTGACTTTCCAGGGTTCTTGGTGTCGGGTTCGGGAGAGTTCCGGAGTGAAATGGGACACATAGTCCCTAAATTGAAAGTTTAAGTCATATGAGTTGCCGTAGTTTGACTTGTGAGAATGTTGGAAATCGTGTTCGTGTGGGGAGTCTCGCGTTCGCAAAGAGCATTTTGGCAGTGGTGTAATTTTGTGAATCGAACATGAGGATCATTCCGCGTTCGCGCTGAAGGAATCGCTGGGCAACAGATTAAAATTTCAAAATCGTGGGTTTATGTCATTTTTCACCATTTTGACTTGAGAGCTCGGATTGAGGCGATATTTCGAGATACATTTAGAGGGATTGTTCGGGTAAGAGTTTCTAACTCGTTATTGATTAAATTCCACTAATCTATCTTCGATTTCTTCATTTAATTAAGCATTTGGGTTGAAAATTTTGGGGAAAAAGGTGTAAAGTTCTTAGACCAAAATTTTGGATTTTGAAAGGCGAAATGAGGTCGGATTTGGATAATTCTTATATGATTGTACTCGATATCGAATGGGTGTTCAATTTTATAATTTGGTCGGGTTCCGAGACGAGGTCA